GTGCCTCGCTGCCGAACCCAGAACTGAAATGCAGGCGTCAGTGTTGAGAATCACCACAGGAACTTTAAACAGTAAATGCTGTCGATGATTCGCCTCCGTCACTGTTTCCATGAAGAAGGCGAAAACAAACCAAGCGAGTTGATGAGAGGAGATGAGATCACTCCTCCTTGAAGAGGATCCACCAAACCTAACACACTAGAAATTTATCCGGGTTGCTTCTGAAGAAAAACCGAAGTACGACAAGAAAATATAAAAAATAAAAAAAAATAAAAAAAACTAGAAAACCAACCAAAGAATCGAAGCCAACATCACCATCGACAGACTGGACCGAGCATTTACTTACACCAGTAACTCCCTCCAAAATTTAGTGAAACCAATTCTTGTTGAGCAACCTGAGCAAAGGAACAAGGATGAGAGCTTCTATCGACAGCGACACACGAGGAATGGACTCAAAAAATAAATGTTCTCAGCTAGCTTAAGAGGACCACGACTGACAGCTGCAAACCATATGCGAGCAAGCAGACACTGCGATATATACGAGTCTAAAAACTCAATTTGAAGAAGAGGCTCACCTTTTCTCTCAGTGCTACGAGCAACGTGCTCCTTTCCCTTTCGATTTGCGTGGCAATCTCTACTGCAGATGATTCCATTCCAACACATATATTAGTGATCCCAAGAGTCTAGAAAGAAATCGAGGCCTGTATAATTTTTTCATTCCGCTTTTTGGAGTTCTTCCATTGTTATACCCGTGTCAATCACGTTTTCTCTGACAAACCTGTGCAATTATCACCTCATTAGTGCGGGGGCCATAACAAAGTCGAGGCTTACCTGGATAGCTTATCCTTGGACGATTGCAGAATATAAATGGACATAACCAAGGTTAATAGAAAAGCTGCAGAGCCCAGTTCCCGGTCAGATAAGACGATATGGAGGACCACGCTGCTTACCAGATCCAAACAATATGTAGAAACCTGTTGCAACGTCAATCTCTGACTTCTCTTCCCTGCAATGAAACGCACAAACGACACCTCAAAAGCTCTGTGAACACGTAAGCGTACCAATTATATCGAACTAGTACGTGTTTTGGCCACTGCGAAGGATCCCAAAACTCTTTGAACGTCCCTTCGTGTTCGGCGGCATCTACAAACGAATAAAACATGTCATGAAAGGCATCCAAGGGTACGCGCTTTACTTACAATCCTCAGGCATCTCGACGACTTTGGCAGAAACGCCTTCCAAATCACCACCTGTGTACCTCTGGCGGACAAACAGTAAGCACGCATCTTATGCACAACTTAAACATCCCACCAGAGTCACGTCAATCATAGGCATTTTGCTGGACTGTCGGCCCACGATAAACAGCCATGGGGTGGTAATCCTCTCGTGCCCAAATTGCAAAGATCTGTGCATCAAACTTTAGCTACAAAGGAGATATAGAAGAGGCGTACATTTTGTAGGGGTCGGCGCCGCTGTAGCCAACAGGCTTTGGAATTGGGACAACAACCTGAGAGTTTTCATGGTCGTTAGATTCGAGGAATAAAAAGAGGAATTCAAGCAGGAAGAAACTGATTTTACGTGTTCTCCAAAGAAATGTTAATCTCACATCTACTAATTTACACCGAAGTGGTTTCTAGACGAAAAAAGAAAGCACTCTGTCTAGGAGGAAGTAAAGTTTTCTGAAAGAAAATCTAGAATGCTCTACCTCTCTGTCGATCCCAAATCGAGGGCAATGACGCCCCAAGTAATCGTGCCAGGGCGTTCGCATCTAGCAAGCAAGAAACTTCCGTCAAAAGAGGGAAAGAGAATGTAGCTCTACTCACGTTGTGGTACTGTCCCCTGCGCGCCAGCGGCACGTATTCTCCTAAAAAGTAGCCATCGCAAGCTCCGATCGCCGCGATGACGAGCAGCAGGAACAAGGCGGGCGATCCCATCGCCTCGATAAACCCTAAGAACTGGGAATATCTAGGGCATGGAAACGATTGCTAAGAAGAGCCAGTGCCTCTTTGATCGAAGAATGGCGTAGCATATGGCGACTTCCTCAAAATGTGGACTGAAGCTCTCCAGGCGAAAAGGAAACGATCGAAAGCCTTGTTTCTCAAAAACCTTCGAAAGTTTTTTTGTCTCCAACATTGTTGACTGTTGCTAGGTTTTTTGACCAAAGGATCCTGGAATTAAACCTATCCCACATGCCGGGGCGTAGAGTGAGGCCACTAAAACGTTATATAAGCTAGGACCTGGGAAGTGTTCCATACTTACCTGGACGGGGTCTATTGGCGATCGTAAAGGCTAATGGCCTAGGTTTGGCTTTCCCATTGCACTATGGCTTGGCCAGCCTACCATCTTCCCAAAGTGGAGGAGTGGACGTCGTAATTTGTGGAAGTTGAGGGCTCGCGTACGCGCGGCCCTCTCCAAATCAAAATTCCAAAGTAGTAAATCTATGACTTGAGATCAGTATGATCCTTTGTTAGGTTTCAATTAGGTCAGAGAAAGTTTTCGGGAAGATTGAGCGATGCGCAGGGGGGGCACGGCTAGGAAGAGAGCGTTCGAGTGATGCGAGAGGCACCGCGCTCCTCTCAAGGCGTGCGCGGAGCTGGCGTTCAAAGAGGAGTCTCCGGAGAACAGATTCCAGGTGTGGAAGCACCGGACCCTTGAGAGATTTTCGATCGGAGGTCAAACCGTGCGGGGATTGGCTACTTTACTTCTGTTCTCTCACCAGACCGTGTTACTTTTCTCGTCGCTCTCAAGGCTTGCTCTAGCTGCGAAAGACGAAAGTATGAAGATCAAGGCTCTGGCCCAAGGCGCGAGAATCCACTCCGGGACGTTTTCATCTTGAATGGGTGGACGCTGGCCGACAGGATGCCTGGGAGTGGGATGGCGATGGCGAAGAAGCTCTACTGCTGTTTGCGGTCATGCAGTACGAGGGATGTCTTCCGGGTTCTCAGCTTTCGTGGCTAGGCTTGGCTGCCTCGCGGAGAGCGAAGTGTCGATGGATGAAGATGAAGGCTTTGGAGAGAGGTATGTATGTTCATTCTTAAGCTTTCTCCAGTGGCTGATTTCGTGGCAAATAGCCTGGTGGATATGTACGCGAAGTGTGGGAGCTTAAGCTGAGCTCGCGTCGGGTTTTCAACACGATGAAACGCCACAGCGTGGTCTCGTGGACTGTTCTCACTGTGGGACATGCTCAACTCGGGCAAGGTGAGGAAGCTTTGCTTGTTTGCACCAGTGCAAACGGAAGGCTGCCAGCCGAATGCTCTAACGATTGTCGCTGCTTTACAGGTCGCACTCGCAGCTAAAGAAAAGAACCAGCCATCGCCAAAAATTTTGGACAAGATCATCGAAGTAGAGTGTCTGGCTGTTCGAAGTGGACATGGTCTAGACGCTTTCGTGGCCAGCACCTTTATCGAAGTTTACGGGAAGTGTGGAAGCTTGAGCAACACTAGCAGGGTCTTTGACACTCTCAAAGTGTGGTTTCGTGGGCGGCTTTGCTCTCGGCCTACGCTCGAAATGGAGAAGCCAACCTTGCAGCTCTTCGCCTTGATGCAACTGGAAGGCTGTGAACCCAACGCTCAAACTTCGTGACTGCTCTCAAGGCCTCTGTAGGATTTACTTGGAGGCCGGAAGAAGGATCCACTCGCAGCTCTCATCGCGTGGACTCGATGAAAAGCTCGCAGTAGCGAGCTCTCTGGTGAATTTCTACGGAAAGTGTGGAAGCGAGGCCAGGGAAGCTTTCGGCGCGATTGCTGACAAAGGGGGCCGTAGTGGCATGGAGTGGCTTGATCGAAGGCTATATTCGCCAAGGCAACACGCAGGAGATGTTTGATCTCTTCGACCGGATGATGGAGAGGGATTTTGAGGCCTGGTGGAGTGACTTTGCAGCCACACTGGGGTGGCTCACAAGGCGAGAGAAGTTTTGTGGACGATGAGGTGTGGTGTTGATCCAAGCATCGACCACTACTCGATCTCTATGGTCGAGACGAGTGGCCTTGGCAATGCCTTTCGATAGCAACGAAATGTCTATTCTGTAAACATTGATCCATGAAATGTCTATTCTGTAAACATTGATCCATGAAATATCTATTTTGTAAACATTGATCTATTATTGGCCGTTGGATCTCATGCATCCATCGGTCTATATTCATTATATGTATTCGTTAACGCATTAGAATATTTAGGGTTCTTGCTAGCAATGTGGAAGCTCCATGTCGCCAGCGGTGGCGATTCTTCTTCCGCCGCGCCCCTCAGCACTCTCAACGATCTCGTCGGCCGCCAGATCTGGTGCTACGACGAGGCCCTCGGCAGCGACGATGATCGCGCGCGCGTCCAAGAGGCTCGGGATCACTTCGCCAAGAATCGCCATGTCCAGAAGCACAGCTCCGATCTCCTCATGCGAATGCAGGTATGCTGGTGGAATTCCTGATTTTCGAATCTCCAATCTTTCTTCTCTTCTCGCATAGCTCTCCAAGGCTGCACAGCCGCTGCCCCAAATCCCTCCTCCAGTGAAGGTCCAAGGCGATGCGGAGATCAAGCAGAGCGATGTCGAGACCACGATTCGTCGTGCCTTGCGATTTTACTCCACCATTCAAGCCGAGGACGGCCACTGGCCTGGCGATTACGGAGGTCCCATGTTTCTCATGCCGGGATTGGTATGAGCTTATCTTTGGGATTTCTTACATGCCAAACGATGGTGTATTATCAGATCATTGCTTTGTACGTCACTGGAGCGATCAACGTGGTTTTGTCACCGGAGCACCACCGAGAAATGTGTAGATACTTTTTCAACCACCAGGTGTGTAATCTTTCTTTCTAGCGATGTTCGTGAATTTTCGTCTTTCTGGAAGAACGAAGATGGCGGCTGGGGATTGCACATTGAAGGGCACAGCACGATGTTTGGCACTGTACTTGTTTATGTTTCTCTACGGCTACTTGGCCAAGAACCAGACAAGCCAGCCATGGAGAGCGCCCTTTCATGGATTTTTGGTCATGGAGGGACCATCGCCATTCCGTCCTGGGGAAAGTTTTGGCTCGCGGTACGTGAAGGAAAATTCAAGTTGTTTCTTTGTTATTGACGATAACCTGTTTCTGTAAGGTTCTTGGAGTGTTCGATTGGTCGGGAGTCAATCCCCTACCGCCAGAAATGTATTTGCTGCCGTATGCGATTCCCCTTCATCCAGGTATCTCCTTAATTATTTGTTTTCTACGTATGCTCAAATCTTTCTTTAGGACGTATGTGGTGTCATTGCCGGATGGTTTATCTTCCTATGAGCTATATCTATGGTCGTCGTTTCACTGGAAAAATCACACCCAAGGTTGAAGCTCTGAGAAAGGAGCTCTTTAACGGACCCTTTGAAGACGTGGATTGGAATCGTGCGCGAAATACTTGTGCAAAGGTAAAATTTTCTGCGCACCCGAGAAGGGTGCATGTATTTTTATCAACTTACAGAAAGCATTTCTTGATGACTGGTATGCAGGAAGATCTGTATTATCCTCATCCGCTCATACAAGACGTTCTTTGGGGAGTTTTGCATAAAGGTGTGGAGCCTCTTTTAATGTGTTGGCCAGGATCATTGCTGCGTAAAAAGGCGCTTGATACCGTTCTCGAGCATATCCACTACGAGGATGTCAATACGAGATATACATGCATTGGGCCTGTTAACAAGGTGGGAATCGTTTTGCTCCTCTATCTATTTAGTTTATTGTTCCACTCAGGTCATCAACATGCTTTGCTGTTGGGCGGAGGACCCAAACTCCGAAGCTTTCAAACAGCACTTGCCCCGAATTCATGATTATCTCTGGGTTGCGGAAGATGGGCTGAAAATGCAGGTAAAAGGATTTTTTTAGATTTTTTTTTTTCTATTTGTTACGTAACCAAGAAACATATAAGGGATACAATGGCAGTCAACTTTGGGATACAGCTTTTGCTGTACAAGCGATAATATCAACGGACATGCTTGAAGAATCCGGGGAGATGCTGAAGAAAGCTCATTCCTACATAGAAAAATCACAGGTTTGTAACAAGAATCACTATACGCTGGTTATCACGATCTTCCTCCCAAAGGTACGCGAAGACTGTCCCGGGGATTTGGACTATTTCCATCGACATATATCAAATGGAGCATGGCCATTTTCTAACAGAGATCACGGATGGCCTATATCTGATTGTACTTCTGAAGGCTTAAAGGTATTATTGACCATGAGCTATCTATTTTGTGATGGAACATTTTGTTACAGAGTGTGTTGCTTCTATCACGCATTTCATCGGACCTTGTTGGGAAGCCCTTATCTCCAGAACGACTCTATGATTGCGTCAATATGATCATTTCATATCAGGTACAATACTCCTCGGATAAGTTGGCCGCTAACTCGTGAAATCAGAACGCCAATGGAGGAGTCGCATCATACGAGTTGACACGGTCATATGCTTGGATCGAGGTGAGATGAAAGGATGGGTTTTAAGTGATAACATGTCGAAACTGCAGCTGTTCAACCCTTCAGAAACATTTGGGGACATTACAATCGATTACTCGTAAGAACTACAGCTATCTAAGTACGCTCTCTAACTGTGCGTGTGGTCTTTTTCTAGCTATGTGGAATGTACATCAGCTTGCGTTCAGGCGCTCTGTGCTTTCAGCAGGCTCTACCCTGACCATCGGTCCAAGGAAATCGAGCTATTTGTAGCTAAAGGATGCCAATATATTGAAAGCATTCAAAGACCTGATGGCTCCTGGTAAGCTTGCATTCTTTTTTCTATTCTCATACGTTTTTAAGGTACGGGTCATGGGGTGTTTGTTTCACGTACGGCATCTGGTTTGGAGTCCTAGGCTTGGTTGCCGCTGGCAAAAGCTATAAGCACTCTGCAGCGATCCGCAAGGCCTGCGATTTCCTTCTTTCTAAGCAGCTCCCATCGGGTGGCTGGGGTGAGAGCTACCTCTCCTCTCAAAACAAGGTGTGGCTAATTTTCTCTTTCTCGTGATACATGTAAGCTTCTCTTCTTTGCAGGTTTATACGAACCTGGAAGGTGGTAAGCACCACCTCGTTAACACGGCCTGGGCGATGCTAGCGCTTATTGCAGGTGGACAGGCAAGTCTAAACAATTTAGTTTCAGAAATGTTTTGGTTTCAAAATGTTTCTCTCTTTATCTTGTTTAGGCCGAAAGAGATTCCACGCCTCTGCATAAAGCCGCTGCTCTTTTGGTAAACGGACAGCTTGAAGATGGCGATTTTCCACAGGAGGTACGTAATGCTTACATATGGTTTTTCCGTCACCTTGTTTGCTTATTTCTTGCAGGAAATAAGTGGAGTGTTTAACGGCAACTGCATGATCAGCTACTCCGCCTACAGGTGTATCTTCCCAATCTGGGCACTCGGACAATACCGCAGCCGCGTGCTCAAGCGTCCAGCGAAGTGATGGATTGATCTCGTCTTATTAGTTTCCGGCAACACATAACATAAAGCACCATTCCATCGCTTCGCAAAAATTCTCCCGACGGAAATCACAGCTCGTCTTTAGAAGGCTCGCCGGCGTCCGGTGCCGCCGAAGGAGCAGCCGAGGTTCTGTGCTTGTCAACGAAGCTGATCAAATCCTCCTTGCTTCGATCGCCCTCGTACTTGACGGCTTGCTTGGCGCCCGTGTAGAGGTAGAGCGTGGGGAAGCCCTGGACGTCAAACGTGTCGTCTTCAACGTCGTTGGCAGTGGCATCCTGCGTAGAGGAAAGAAAGAGACTGGTTACTTAGGAAGGCAACGCAACTGTGCAAGAAAACTCACCAGTTTCGCGATGACGACCTTGGGATCATCCTTGAAGTGTTCCGCGACTTCGTCCAGCGTGGGCGCCAGTTTCTTACAGTGGCCACACCACGGCGCGTAGAATTCCAAAAGAACTGGAGGTACGAATAGATGTTAGTAGAGTGTAAACTATAACGTGGTTATGTTCTTGTGCATTACCATCTTTCCCAGACTCGATAACGAGGTCGTTCAAAGTGTTCCTCACCACCACTTTGACTGGTTCATCGTTTTTCTCGGGAACGGGCTCGGACTTTACCCACGGCTTGAGCTTTCCAGCCTGTGTCCAATGTCAAGTGTAAGAGAAAATGTGAGCTTCCGTGAGAGAACTTACCAAATAGTCGTCCACAAAACTGGATAGCTTTGATGATTCGATCGTCTCTACTGCGAACTTTTTCCCTTGAGCGTCTTGTACAACAATGGACGGCAGCTTCGCAGCTGCAAGACCAAAGTGCTGCACAAAAGAAAAGATTTAAGAATGTGAGGATACCAAATTAGAATTAGCAGACCTGAAGAGCATGGTCGTTTCCTGCGCTGTTGGCAGCAAGGAAAAGAAGGCCTTTTGGTTTGTTTGACTCTGCAACCTTCTTGTAAGCAGGTCGATATTCTTCGTCATGGCTCGACTCGACAAACAGAAACACCTATCCTCCCCAAAAAAAGGTAAACATCAATCCAAACATTGAGAAAACAAAACCTTTGGCGCCTCCTTGTTGAAAAACTTCATTAGAAACGGCTGCATTTCGGGGTCCTGATTCAGCTCGGTCACAAGAGGCAAGCTCGATTCCTCCACAAACTTTTTGAGCTCCTCGACATAGAAATTCTAAGAAGGTAGCGTTAAGCAAGATAGATGGCAACCAGTCAGAGCTTACCGTGAAGTCGTTAAAACGTTCGTCGAAAACCTTGAACAGCCTGACTGCCGGAGCTTTCAGTGGCTCGTCCTTCAGAGGCAGCACGGAAGCGTCCAGTGTGTGACGAAAGTCGTACTCAGATCTGAGCGCTTCCGCGAGAGCCGTGAAGTTTTGGAACTCTTCGCTATCATATGACTTGAAAACTCCAATCTGGAAGAGAGTCAAGCAAAAAAGAATTTTGAGCTTCAAAACTTACAATGGCTATCTTGTTCTGTCCAACGAAATCACCAGCCTCTTCAGTAGAAGTTAGCTCCACTGTGGCTGGCCCGGCTTGTTTCTTCAAGTAGCTCACAATGCCATCTGCGTCGCGCGGCCCCTTGTACTCCTCCACGGTCCCCTTGCGAATGATCTTCAAGGTGGGGAAACCCCGGATCTCATAGTCCGACGCAATCTTCTTGTTCTTCTCCTCGTTCGCGTCTACTTTGGCCAAAACAATGTTGTGTTCTTTCAGTGCGGTCGCCGCCTTCTCGTACTGGAGCAAAAGAGCAAATCAATAGTTAGTTCTTCGCTGTGAAGAGGAGAATAATCTCACCTCGGGAGCTAGCTTCTTACAGTGCCCACACCTGTCAATCGAAATATCAGATTAGCCATCATCAGCGAGACGCCAGTCGATCGATCGATCGATCTTACCAGGGCGCGTAGAACTCGACGACGATGAAGTCGTGCTTCTTGATCTCGTCCGCGAAGTTGGAGTCGTCGAGCTCAAGAACATCGCTGCTCTCGCTCGATGCATCGATGACTCTGGCAGCAGTGACCGCCAGCAGCGCTAGCGCCAGGAATATCACTCCCGCTCGCGCCATGGAAATTATCCAGTAACAAAGCCCTAGGCGAGAGCTTAAAACCCCACACAGAACAGGAACTGTGTACGATGTGTACGAACGGCTAGATTGCCACTTAGCCATGCAATGCGGGAATCGTAGCCGTCCATCTGGTCATGACATGGCAAAGAGCTTCCTTTGCGTACACGTGGCATTCATCGGTTGGGCACTTGACGTGCAAGGCAGCCACATTATTCACGTTTTCGCTGACGTGGACGTTTATTGGAATATGCTGAAGAGATCCTGTTCTTACTCCTGATTAGGGCAAAGAAGCATTTTCTCATTTTTATGGCGGGGGCTGCGCTGATCCGGGGTGTGGAGGCGCAAGCTTCCGCCGCGCTCATCTACAGCCTGGGGGTGGATTGCCACGGCGCTCAATCGCTCGTCCAGGACGCCGTGGCGTCGCCGCCGAGGAGGCTGTGCTCGCGGGTGAGGAAGCGTGCCAGGACGATTCGCGGCCGCGGCAGGCGCAGATCGTATTCTTCGGGCTCCGAGGAGGATTTCTCCGATGGCAACGGGGGAAATGGAAATGGGGCCGGCGACAACGGCAGCGGCGGTGGCGGATCGTCCGATTGGTGGGGTGAGAGCTGGAGCGACGATGGATCGTGGTGGTGGTGGAGGGACGAGGGATCGAGGAGGGCGCTTCTCAGCTTTTTCCACCAGGTCGCGTGCTGGGTATGTTTGCTCCAATCCCTCCATTTTCTAGTTAAGAACGTCATCAGGCTTAGCCAGGGGGGTGACCCGTATGGCTCTGGAGAGACCACCTCGGTGCTCTCGCATTGATTCCTCCTGCAAGGCTACTCGACAGCCATTTGTGTATATAATTCCACGTTCGCTGCATAGAATCACACAAGCAAGCTTTTCTTGTGAATTTTCATTCTATAGTCTTTGGTTTGTCTTGGTTTGCTTTTCTTTTATCTCGGGAACTCCAAAGAGAAAAAGGAAAGTTAGTGTCTCTTTCCTTGTACTTAGGAAAGATGTTTAATTGTGATCACGCTAATTTGTCCTCGAGAGGAAGAGCTTTCCAATCATATGACCGAGCAGGGAGGATCCGAGTGGAGCGTGAAGCTGTACACATAGCCATCCGACTCGACCCTCAGCTCGGTGGCGAACATCTGGAAGTTGTTCCCGAAGAAAGAGTGGCCGAGGACAAAGTCGTGGCGGGAGAACTTCATCACGGCAAAGTCCATCCGGCCCATGTACCCGCCATCGATCTCGAACTCGAGCTTCGGGGCCACCAAGTTGCCGGTGTAAGTACTGGTTCCCAGCGGTGTCTCGACGCTAAACTCCGTGCACTCCTCCGTTCGCAGGCCGAGGCGGGACACGGTGCTCTCGGACACGAAGTTGTCGGAGCTGTTGCTGGCCACGAAGCTGACTGTGTGCCCGTTCACTCTCCCGCGCAGCCATTTCCCGAAGTCGTCGTCGCCGTAGTACACCACAAAGTGGAGCTTCACGTCCTTCTTTGGAGCGCTCGGCGGCTGCTCCTCCTTTGGAGGTAAGGCCACGAAACTCTGGTAGTAGCGAGCTGTCAGGGGTGGTGATTCTTTCGGCTTTGCCTCGGCAGCGGCCTTTGCGGCCCTCTCCGCCTGGAGCGCCAGAGTTATGGCCTCCTGCAAGTTCCTGGGCTTCCTCACGTTGACGAAGTTTGCCAGCGGCGGGTTGAGACCCGAGATGTACCGGTTGAGCTTGCGCGAGTCGAGAAAGTTATCGGCGTATTCTCCGACTGAGAGCTCTTTCTGTTTGATCGCAGTGGCAGCGTCATCGCCAGCGGCGCACGGCTTGAAGCAGCGAAGTATGAGATTCTTGAAATCCTCCCAGGTGGTGGTGGCGGCGCCGTCCTGGTGGTGAAGAGCTCTCCACTTGGCGTGGGCGGGGCCTGTGAGATAGTTTGCGGCATAGAGAATCTTGTGGCTGTCCTCGTGGATGGCGACTGTGTTAAAGAAGCACTCGAGCTTGGAGATCCATTCGTCTACGTCCCCCTCGCCATTGAAGGCCGGGAGATGGAATGCTGGCCACATTCTCTCTTGGTGGTGGCTCTTGGCTTTTTAACTGTCACATGCACCAATTTAATTTTAATAGGTAAGAATTTTAACATTAAACCTTGATTAGAGAAGTTTAACAGCTGAAAATCTCAACCGTTGGATTGAGAAATATTTAGATATTTTAGGTTTATTCTTCACACCCTTTTTTTAAATTAAAAAGTCAATACTAGGGTTTTAGAGGGTTTATAGCACCAAAAATGCATAAACTGTTTTATGCCATTGGCTTCAAGTTCGACTTATGAAACACTGTCCATGAAGTGTTTTATTCCATTGGCTTCAAGTTTGTCTATCCCTTGTGAAATAAGTAATTTATTTTCTCATCCTGTTGTAGAATTGATTGATGGCACATTTAATGAAGAAACTCTATTCTACCCCCAATTACCGAAAAGCTGCAAAGATTGGTATGCCAACAATGGTTTGAGTTTATGACAGACTGTGTTAAGCTTTGGATCATTATGCAGTTCTAATAGATATGAAAACTTTAGTCAAGATAATGATAGTTCAGCAGCAATATCTTGACAGTTCAGCAGTAGTATCTTGATAATTTAGACGTTGTCAGCTGAGATTGCTGAGTTTTGGAAGAAAAGAACCTTCTCTCTCTCTCTATATATATATATAACTTTTACAGTCCACTTCCACTAGTGCCAATCTGGGGCTTTGAGTCGTCGATATATAAATGAAGAACTTTAATTTGAATTCAAAGTTATTGTATAATATACGTGCCCAAGCAAACAAATGTGCAGTAGAGATGATACTATCAACGAAGATATTCACTATTGGTAGCTTCTTATACATGATGGACACGTCAAGGGTGGGAGTCCATTCCCCAGAAGAACGATGAATCAGTGAGAGTGGTGATCGAGCCTGGGGAAGACGGTACATCTGTTTTTGATAAGCACACGTTTTGTTTCAGGATGCCACTGCCATATTGAAGAAGACATGTTTGACTTCCAGGGCTTCCACAACAACACTGGACGGCAGCGAGCCAGCTAAAAACGAGCTGGGATTCCATGGGTAAAATTTTAGCAAAGCGATGCTTTATGTGTCATGGTTTATGTGTTGCTGAAAACTAATAAAAGACTCAATTGCTGGATGCTTGAGCACGCGGCTGCGGTATTGTCCGAGTGCCCAGATTGGGAAGATACACCTGTAGGCGGAGTAGCTGATCGTGCAGTTGCCGTTAAACACTCCAATTATTTCCTGCAAGAAAGAAGCAAACAAGGTGACGGAAAAACCATATGTAAGCATTACGTACCTCCTGTGGAAAATCGCCATCTTCAAGCTGTCCGTTTACCAAAAGAGCAGCGGCTTTATGCAGAGGCGTGGAATCTCTTTCAGCCTAAACAAGATAAAGAGAGAAACATTTTGAAACCAAAACATTTCTGAAACTAAATTGTCTAGACTTGCCTGTCCACCTGCAATAAGCGCTAGCATCGCCCAGGCCGTGTTAACGAGGTGGTGCTTACCACCTTCCAGGTTCGTATAAACCTGCAAAGAAGAGAAGCTTACATGTATCACGAGAAAGAGAAAATTAGCCACACCTTGTTTTGAGAGGAGAGGTAGCTCTCACCCCAGCCACCTGATGGGAGCTGCTTAGAAAGAAGGAAATCGCAGGCCTTGCGGATCGCTGCGGAGTGCTTATAGCTTTTGCCAGCGGCAACCAAGCCTAGGACTCCAAACCAGATGCCGTACGTGAAACAAACACCCCATGACCCGTACCTTAAAAACGTATGAGAATAGAAAAAAGAATGCAAGCTTACCAAGAGCCATCAGGTCTTTGAATGCTTTCAATATATTTGCATCCTTTGGCCACAAATAGTTCGATTTCCTTGGACCGATGGTCAGGGTAGAGCCTGCTGAAAGCACAGAGCGCCTGAACGCAAGCTGATGTACATTCCACATAGCTAGAAAAAGACCAAACGCACAGTTAGAGGGCATACTTAGATAGCTGTAGTTCTTACGAGTAATCGATTGTGATGTCCCCAAATGTTTCTGAAGGGTTGAACAGCTGCAGTTTCGACATGTTATCACTTAAAACCCATCCTTTCATCTCACCTCGATCCAAGCATATGACCGTGTCAACTCGTATGATGCGACTCCTCCATTAGCGTTCTGATTTCACGAGTTAGCGGCCAACTTATCCGAGGAGTATTGTACCTGATATGAAATGATCATATTGACGCAATCATAGAGTCGTTCTGGAGATAAGGGCTTCCCAACAACGTCCGATGAAATGCGGGATAGAAGCAACACACTCTGTAACAAAATGTTCCATCACAAGATAGATAGCTCATGGTCAATAATACCTTCAAGCCTTCAGAAGTACAATCAGATATAGGCCATCCGTGATCTCTGTTAGACAATGGCCATGCTCCATTTGATATATGTCGATGGAAATAGTCCAAATCCCCGGGACAGTCTTCGCGTACCTTTGGGAGGAAGATCGTGATAACCAACGTATAGTGATTCTTGTTACAAACCTGTGATTTTTCTATGTAGGAATGAGCTTTCTTCAGCATCTCCCGGGATTCTTCAAGCATGTCCGTTGATATTATCGCTTGTACAGCAAAAGCTGTATCCCAAAGTTGACTGCCATTGTATGCCTTATATGTTTCTTGGTTACGTAACAAATAAATTTTTTAAAAAAAAATTCTAAAAATCCTTTTACCTGCATTTTCAGCCCATCTTCCGCAACCCAGAGATAATCATGAATTCGGGGCAAATGCTGTTTGAAAGCTTCGGAGTTTGGGTCCTCCGCCCAACAGCAAAGCATGTTAATGACCTGACTGGAACAATAAACTAAATAGATAGAGGAGCAAAACGATTCCCACCTTGTGAACAGACCCAATGCATATATATCTCGTATTGACATCCTCGTAGTGGATATGCTCGAGAACCGTATCAAGCGCCTTCTTGCGCAGCAATGATCCTGGCCAACGCATTAAAAGAGGCTCCACACCTTTATGCAAAACTCCCCAAAGAACATCTTGTATGAGCGGATGAGGATAATACAGATCTTCCTGCATACCAGTCATCAAGAAATGCTTTCTGTAAGTTGATAAAAATAAATGCACCCTTCTCGGGTGCGCAGAAAATTTTACCTTCGCACAAGTATTTCGCGCACGATTCCAATCCACGTCTTCAAAGGGTCCGTTAAAGAGCTCCTTTCTCAGAGCTTCAACCTTGGGTGTGATTTTTCCAGTGAAACGACGACCGTAGAGATAGCTCATAGGAAGATAAACCATCCGGCAATGACACCACATACGTCCTAAAGAAAACTTTGAGCATACGTAGAGAACAAATAATTAAGGGGATACCTGGATGAAGGGGAATCGCATACGGCAGCAAATACATTTCTGGCGGTAGGGGATTAACTCCCGACCAATCGAACACTCCAAGAACCTTACAAGAAAAAGGTTATCGTCAATAACAAAGAAACAACTTGAATTTTCCTTCAGGTACCGCGAGCCAAAACTTTCCCCAGGACGGAATGGCGATGGTCCCTCCATGACCAAAAATCCATGAAAGGGCGCTCTCCATGGCCGGCTTGTCTGGTTCTTGGCCAAGTAGCCGTAGAGAAACATATACAAGTACAGTGCCAAACATCGTGCTGTGCCCTTCAATGTGCAGTCCCCAGCCGCCATCTTCGTTCTTCCAGAAAGACGAAAAATTCACGAACATCGGTAGAAAGAAAGATTACACACCTGGTGATTGAAAAAGTATCTACACATTTCTCGTTGGTGCTCCGGTGACAAAACCACGTTGATCGCTCCAGTGACGTACAAAGCAATGATCTGATAATACACCATCGTTTGGCATGTAAGAAATCCCAAAGATAAGCTCATACCAATCCCGGCATGAGAAACATGGGACCTCCGTAATCGCCAGGCCAGTGGCCGTCCTCGGCTTGAATGGTGGAGTAAAATCGCAAGGCACGACGAATCGTGGTCTCGACATCGCTCTGCTTGATCTCCGCATCGCCTTGGACCTTCACTGGAGGAGGGATTTGGGGCAGCGGCTGTGCAGCCTTGGAGAGCTATGCGAGAAGAGAGGAAAGATTGGAGATTCGAAAATCAGGAATTCCACCAGCATACCTGCATTCGCATGAGGAGATCGGAGCTGTGCTTGTGGACATGACGATTCTTGGTGAAGTGATCCCGAGCCTCTTGGACGCGCGCGCGATCCTCGTCGCTGCCGATGGCCTCGTCGTAGCACCAGATCTGGCGGCCGACGAGATCGTTGAGAGTGCTAAGGGGGGCCGCGGAAGAAGAATCGCCAGCGCTGGAGACATGGAGCTTCCACATTGCTATCAAGATTCACCAATCCGATGAAGCACAGGGGTGAGGTGGCGGTTTGTGAAAGTCTAGGCAAGGGAGTTCTGACGGGCTTACGCCCGTTTTAAGATCGCTTCAAGCTAACAGTAAGTGTGCAATGACTTTTGGACCACATGGCGTATTACTCAAATATTATATTGTATACATATAGGTAATATTTACGTAACTCATTTTTGAGGTTGAGAGGGCAACTACCAGTGAGACTTGAGCTGTCTCTAAAATGCAATCCTAGATACCCATGCTACTTTTCCATTTTGCTATATTGTTTATGGGCATGTATGCTGAAATCCCGAATTTCTGGTCAACTTGGGGTGCATTGTTCTTTTATAAATTCAAAACCAGGAATGTGTACTCTTGAGCTTGTCTTGAACACTAGTATTCATCTTACTAACGTACTCGAGGATTCTTCTCATCATGTAATTTTCTTTAGCACTTTGCCTAAAGTGTTACCCTAGTGTATATAACTTCTTTTAAAGAATTTTGAGCTCTTCTCTTTTGGCGGTTACTTTTGGGCGGATTGAGTTTCATCAGTATGGATTGGATTTTGTAAGAGCATATCACAATGTGGTTTAAATACTTCACTTTCGTTGCAAATTCATATTTGCTCTTCTTCGTAACTTCTAAGAGTGACTATAGATATAAGAACAAGTGATATCATATGAGTGCTTCTTCATAGGCACCATGCTATCAAACAACACATTCCATATGCTGTCTATGTATGGCAATCAATTTGTCCTCCGGCTCTAAATGAAGTGTTCATTCGATCTCATGGTATTCTACCTACATGTCAATAGTTAGACTATAACTGGAAAAAACTAGGCCGAAGTGATCATGGCTTTTGGGAATGGGGGTATAAATAGCCCTAATTCTCTGTGCGATATAGTCTTTGAGAACTTGGAGGACGGCAACCACAAACTACGAAATAGAAACCTTTAACCTTTTAAGGTGGTGGTTCTTGGCTTTTTAACTGTAATTTAATTTTAGTAGGTAAGAATTTTAACATTAAACCTTGATTTGAGAAGTTTAGCAGCTGAAAATCTCAACTGTTAAATTGAGAAATAATCTGGAATATATTTAGATATATTCTTCACACCCTTTTTTATCAAACAAGTAAATTAAAATATTCTGAAAAGTCAATACTAGGGTTTTAGAGGGTTTATAGCATGCCAGGGTGTTTTATGCCATTGGCTTCAACTTCGTCAATCACTTATGAAACACTGTCCATGAAGTGTTTTATTCCACTGAGTTTGTCTATCCCTTGTGAGATATGTAATTTATTTTCTCATTCTGTTGTAGAATTGACATTTAGCACAACCCTAAATTACCAAAAAGCTGCAAAGATTGGTATGCCAACAATGGTTTGAGTTATGACCAAATTAGGCTTTGGATCAGACTATGTTATAATAGATATCAAAGCTTTAGTCAAGATAATGATAGTTCAACAGCAATATCTTGACAGTTCAGCAGTAGTATCTTGATAATTTAAGTTGTCAGCTGAGATCTCTCGCTCTCTATATATAAAACTTTACAGTCCACTTCCACTAGTGCCAATCTGGGACTTCGAGTAGTCGATATATAAATGAAGAACTTTAATTTGAATTCGAAGTTGTTGTATAATATGCGTGCCCAAGCAAACAAATTTGCAGTAGAGATGATACTATCAACGAAGATATTCACTATTGGTAGCTTATTACACATGATGGACACGTCAGGGGTGGGAGTCCATTCCCCAGAAGAACGATGAATCAGTGAAAGTGGTGATCGAGCCTGACATCTGTTTTTGATAAGCACACGTTTTGTTTCAGGATGCCACTGCCATATTGAAGAAGACATGTTTGACTTCCAGGGCTTCCACAACAACACTGGACGGCCGCGAGCCAGCTAAAAACGAGCTGGGATTCCATAGGTAAAATTTTAGCAAAGCGATGCTTTATGTGTCATGGTTTATGTGTTGCTGGAAACTAATAAAAGACTCAATTGCTGGACGCTTGAGCACGCGGCTGCGGTATTGTCCGAGTGCCCAGATTGGGAAGATACACCTGTAGGCGGAGTAGTTGATCATGCAGTTGCCGTTAAACACTCCAATTATTTCCTGCAAGAAAGAAGCAAACAAGGTGACGGAAAAACCATATGTAAGCATTACATACCTCCTGTGGAAAATCGCCATCTTCAAGCTGTCCGTTTACCAAAAGAGCAGCGGCTTTATGCAGAGGCGTGGAATCTCTTTCAACCTAAACAAAGATAAAGAGAGAAACATTTTGAAACCAAAACATTTCTGAAACTAAATTGTTTAGACTTGCCTGTCCACCTGCAATAAGCGCTAGCATCGCCCAGGCCGTGTTAACGAGGTGGTGCTTACCACCTTCCAGGTTCGTATAAACCTGCAAAGAAGAGAAGCTTACATGTATCACGAGAAAGAGAAAATTAGCCACACCTTGTTTTGAGAGGAGAGGTAGCTCTCACCCCAGCCACCTGATGGGAGCTGCTTGGAGAGAAGGAAATCGCAGGCCCTGCGGATCGCTGCAGAGTGCTTATGGCTTTTACCAGCGGCAACCAAGCCCAGGACTCCAAACCAGATGCCGTACGTGAAACAAACACCCAATGACCCGTACCTTAAAAACGTATGAGAATAGAAAAAAGAATGCAAGCTTACCAGGAGCCATCAGGCCTTTGAATGCTTTCAATATATTGGCATCCTTTGGCTACAAATAGCGCGATTTCCTTGGACCGATGGTCAGGGTAGAGCCTGCTGAAAGCACAGAGCGCCTGAACGCAAGCTGACGTACATTCCACATAGCTAGAAACAGAACGTTAAGAGAGCATACTTAGATAGATAGCTCTTACGAGTAGTCAATTGTTATGTTCCCAAATATTTCTGAAGGGTTGAACAGCTGCAATTTCGACATGTTATCACTAAAAGCCAACACAGCGTCCTTTCATCTCACTTCGATCCAAGAGTATGATCGTGTCAGCTCGTATGATGCGACTCCTCCACTAGCGTTCTGCTTTCGCCAGTTAGCGGCGAACTCGTCCAAAGAGAAAAGTTTAGTACCTGCAATGAAAGGATCAGTTTGACGCAATCATAAAGCCGATCCGGAGATAAGGGCTTCCCAACAACGTCCGAGGAAATGCGTGATAGAAGCAACACACACTATAACAGAATGTTCCATCAGAAGGTAGATAGCTCAATAGTCGACAATACCTTCAAGCCTTCAGCAGTGCAATCCGGTACAGGCCATCCGTGATCTCTGTTGGAAAATGTCCATGCTCCATTTGAAATATGACGATGAAAATGCTTCAAATCCCCGGGACAGTCTTCGCGTACCTTTGGGAGGACGATCGTGATAAGTAACGGATAGGGATTCTTGTTACAAACCTGTGATTTTTCTATGTAGGAATGAGCTTTCTTCAGCATCTCCCCGGATTCTTCAAGCATGTCCGTTGATATTATCGCTTGTACAGCAAAAGCTGTATCCCAAAGTTGACTGCCATTGTATCCCTTATATGTTTCTTGGTTACGTAACAAATAGAAAAAAAAAAAATCTAAAAATCCTTTTACCTGCATTTTCAGCCCATCTTCAGCAACCCAGAGATAATCATGAATTCGGGACAAGTGCTGTTTGAAAGCTTCGGAGTTTGGGTCCTCCGCCCAACAGCAAAGCATGTTGATGACCTGAGTGGAACAATAAACTAAATAGACAGAGGAGCAAAACGATTCCCACCTTGTTAACAGACCCAATGCATATATATCTCGTATTGACATCCTCGTAGTGGATATGCTCGAGAACCGTATCAAGCGCCTTTTTGCGCAGCAATGATCCTGGCCAACGCATTAAAAGAGGCTCCACACCTTTATGCAAAACTCCCCAAAGAACATCTTGTATGAGCGGATGAGGATAATACAGATCTTCCTGCATACCAGTCATCAAGAAATGCTTTCTGTAGTTGATAAAAATAAATGCACCCTTCTCGGGTGCGCAGAAAATTTTACCTTCGCACAAGCATTTCGCGCACGATTCCAATCCACGTCTTCAAAGGGTCCGTTAAAGAGCTCCTTTCTCAGAGCTTCAACCGTGGGTGTGATTTTTCCAGTGAAACGACGACCGTAGAGATAGCTCATAGGAAGATAAACCATCCGGCAATGACACCACATACGTCCTAAAGAAAACTTTGAGCATACGTAGAGAACAAATAATTAAGGAGATACCTGGATGAAGGGGAATCGCATACGGCAGCAAATACATTTCTGGTGGTAGGGGATTAACTCCCGACCAATCGAACACTCCAAGAACCTTACAGAAACAGGTTATCGTCAATAACAAAGAAACAACTTGAATTTTCCTTCACGTACCGCGAGCCAAAACTTTCCCCAGGACGGAATGGCGATGGTCCCTCCATGACCAAAAATCCATGAAAGGGCGCTCTCCATGGCCGGCTTGTCTGGTTCTTGGCCAAGTAGCCGTAGAGAAACATAAACAAGTACAGTGCCAAACATCGTGCTGTGCCCTTCAATGTGCAGTCCCCAGCCGCCATCTTCGTTCTTCCAGAAAGACGAAAAACTCACGAACATCGCTAGAAAGAAAGATTACACACCTGGTGATTGAAAAAGTATCTACACATTTCTCGGTGGTGCTCCGGTGACAAAACCACGTTGACCGCTCCAGTGACGTACAAAGCAATGATCTGATAATACACCATCATTTGGCATGTAAGAAATCCCAAAGATAAGCTCATACCAATCCCGGCATGAGAAACATGGGACCTCCGTAATCACCAGGCCAGTGGCCGTCCTCGGCTTGAATCGTGGAGTAAAATCGCAAGGCACGACGAATCGTGGTCTCGACATCGCTCTGCTTGATCTCCGCATCGCTTTGGACCTTCACTGGAGGAGGGATTTGGGGCAGCGGCTGTGCAGCCTTGGAGAGCTATGCGAGAAGAGAAGAAAGATTGGAGATTCGAAAATCAGGAATTCCACCAGCATACCTGCATTCGCATGAGGAGATCGGAGCTGTGCTTCTGGACATGACGATTCTTGGCGAAGTGATCCCGAGCCTCTTGGACG